AACACCGTCAGCAACTTCTTCATGAACGCGCGGCGCCGCTGCATGAACCGCTGGGCCGAGGAGCCCGGGGCGGCCCCCGGAGGCCCCGCCGGCGCCACCGCCGCCTTCTCCAAGGCCTGAGGCGCCCGGGCCCGCGCCCTGCCTGCCTCCACGGCCTGGGCGCTGCCCTCCCTCCCACGTCTCCCACCCCACCCTGCCGGCCCGGAGGCCCGCCCCAGGGGGCGCCTGGAGGGGGTGCAGTCCGGGCCCCCTACACCCAGGGCGGGGACGCAGCACACCCCCCTGCCCAAGTGCACAAAAAGGGCCCCCTCCTCCCTCCACCCCAACCCCCTCCAGGCCACAGGAAGCCCTCCACTCTCCCCAGCTGGGAGGGGGGTCACAGACAGGGGCTCCCCAGCTCCCTCTCAATTCAGGACGCCCAGGGGGCCTCGAGGAAAGCCAGGGCTCACCGTGTCGTCCCCGAAAGCGGGTCAAGAAGCACATACTAGAAAAATAATCCGGGTATTAAAAAAAAAAAATGGAATTTTAAGAATAACCCCTTCTTTGCCAGCCCCCGTGGAGGGAGCCTTCCTCCCCGTCGGTCCTCCCAGGCCAGGGACCCTTCCCCGAGAACTCAGCCCCTTCCAAAGTCGCCAAAGCCCACGTCGAGCTGGATCCTCCCAGTGTCCCCACCCACACTGACACCAACCCGGAACCCCCGGCAGAACCGCCCCCACAGCCAAGAACCCAGCTGCCCCTCCGGCGGCCAGGATTCCTTGTGCCAAGAATTGCCTGCCTTAACGTCTGGGGAGGGGGCCTGCAGCGCGACCGCCCAGCACCCACAGGCGAGCACCCTCTCCCACCCCGTCCCGGACCGACCGGAGGGGACGGCTCAAACATGCGGGTAAATTCCAGACGCCTCCCCTCCCCCAGCACACCTCTTGTCAGTTTTCTTCACCTTTAGGCACCTTGATGAACACGCAGGGAGAGACAGACCCCAGGAAACAGAAGAAAAGATCCCGATTCCACGGAGGCGCTACCCCGGAGTCCCCGTGTGCTGGGGTCACGGCGTGGCTTTCTGCTTGGAACCCTCTGGAACTCACCCACCACCTCCCATCGCTCAGGGGGTGCCGCACTGGGCCTGAAGGGGTGACAGGCTTGCCCCTCTCTCTCCATAGAGAGAAGAAGATGCTGGAGAAGGTGGAATCTGCTTGCTCCGTTTTTTTTTGCCAAAAAAATTGACCGGGGAAAGAAAGGGTCAGAAATGAAGATGAGCACCTCCCGGCCCCACCTCCCCTGCTCATCTCATCTCGTCCCGCCGGGTGCCCTCCAAGACTGGCCGGCAGCTGGATCCCAAGAGCCCGCCTCCCCGGGATTCAAGACCTGGAGACTAGAAGGAACTTTCCCCCCCACCCCAAAACCTCCCGTCCCTTCCACTGCCTCCCAGGGAGGTGGCGCCCCCCCCTTGAGAATGCAAAAGACGTTTCTAGGGAAATGCCCCTCCCCCTCCCCCAGGTAAAGGCTACCTCACTGAAGCGTTCGTGTCTGTGATTGGAAAAATCACACTTGATACCAAAGATTTCCCCAAGGACTTGTGCTGGAGGCTCCAGTTCCCTTGCCTCGGGCCGGGGTGGTGCAAAGGCCCGGCTTCCGGCCCTGCCCTCCAGGTCTGAGTCCCTGCGCAACCGTCCCCCACCAGAGAGAGAATGAGAGAGAGAGAGAGGAGAGAGGGAAAGAGATTAGTGAGGTCGATGAGTGCCTTTTTCTTGAACCAAAGATGTGTATGGAATGTTCTCGTGTTCTTATCGACTTGCTATTCTCCCGGCTTTTTAAGCAACTGGATTTGAGTGATGCTTCTAGAATCTTTGGATGTTGGGGCCGAATCCTAAGAGTCCCCATTCTCGCCCAGCAACCAACCCTTCCCCGCCAAACTCACACGTACACACGCATGTGTGCACACACATGCGCACGCACGCACACCGGCTGCCGTCCTTTCTGTGGTGCCCCCGGGCGCTGGGAGCTGGGGTCTGGGGAGGTGGCCCCTTCCTTCGGCCTCCCGCTGGCCAGAGCACCTGCTTGCAGGGGACCGGGCTTCTCCAACTGGGTGGGTCACTTGCCGTTTCCAGCATTCAAGCCCCAGGGGACAGAAGGCAAGGCCTCCGGTTCATTCCCTGTTGGAAAGTCAGAAATTAGCTTGGGATCCTTCTGGTTGTAGAACATTCTAGTTATGGTGAACTGTGGTCAGATTGGGTCAAGCCCCGTGGACACAGGTCACAGAAGAGTCCCCAGATTCCTGGGTCCCTTTCACACACATTTCATTTCATGTGCACACATGCTCACACACACCAGCTCCCCCCCCCCGGGGGCCCTCCCCCGACCCCTGCCCCCCTGCCCCGCCCCGCCAGTCCCCAACATGAAGCCGGTCGCCACACACCAAAGACCCTTCTCCACGCGGGGAATGACGCCTCCAGCACAGCTCCTTTGAGCCTTTGACAATTTTCTCTGAAATACCTCAAAATATTTAATGTATAGTTTATGTGATAAAAAAAAAAATCCTTAGCTAGTTTTTGGAATACGTGACTTGAAGCTTTATACCGTTAAATTATAATTTTGCAGAAGATGGTATGTCGTTTCTTTGGCGAGTTCCGTGGGAGACGTACTGAATGTCGGGCGGCCCAGGCTGGGGAGTCAGAGGCAAAAGGCAGAGGGGGCGCGAGCGAGAGAGCGAGCGAGACTGGGCGGGAGCTCGAAGGACGGCGGTTTACAGATTTCTTGTGGAAACGAATCTTTTAGGAGAGAGGGAGAGAGAGAGAGAGAGAGAAGTGTACCTTTCTGTACTCTGGCGTGTTCTGTTTCTCATTTTTTGGAGTCATGTCTTATAAGAGTATTTATTATTCTATGTGTTCTGTGTTCAGATGTAATTTAAGAAAAAAAAAAGGAAGAAAAATGAAAAAAAAAAGACACAATGGGATTTGAGTTGCTGCATGACTAATGTACTCTTTCTTGACGATAATGTACTCTGTAGATGGGGTGGGGGGTGGGGGGGCCGTGGGGTCGGAGCCCCAGAATTCCGTGTCGCATCCTTGTGTTTCATGCCCGGGCCTGTGTCCCTGCTTCATGCGCTGCTGTGTGTTCATTTCCCTCTTTGCGAGGATCTGTGTCCCTCTGGCCGGAGGGAGGTGGAGAGAGGGGAAGGAGGGATAGGCTGCAGGGCCTTAGCACCCAACCCGGGTCTCCACCTCCTGGTGCCCACATGCCACCTCCCTGTGCTGCCGGGTGGGGTCCCGGGCCTCCTGCCCCAGGTTTTTGGGCACCAGTGGGTATCACTGCCATCTTGGACGCCACCCTTCCCCCGGCCCGACCCGGTTGGTTTCACAGTAGCATGAATTCCCAAGTGTCTTGTTCAGAGGAGACAGACAATCAGCCAATTCGAGTCTTGTCGCCCAGGGCGGTGGGGGGCTGGGGCGTACCCCAATTTCCTGAGATCCCAAGGGCCCTCCTGAGGCCCCCCTCTCTGGGCAGGCACCCAGCTGAGTTCCACCAACCCCCGGGCTGGGCATGAATCCACCTGTCTGTCTGGCCTGGGAGGTGGGGCGATGCACACCCGTGGAGCCCTCTCTCCCCGCCCACGCTGGGACCCTAGAGAACAGAGGGGCCCCCCAGAATCATGAAAGGGGGCTCCGAGACAGTCTCCTTGCCTGAGACTCCACTTCTTCCACGAGGCCCCACGCTCCCCCCAGGGGAGAGCCCACTTTCCATGCCGGGCCCCAGGTAGGGGGATTGTGGTAGCCAGAGGGGGTCCCTTAAACGCTGGAGCACAGAGGCACCAGTGTGGAGGGTGGGCCTGGGGCCGCAGGCTCAACCCACCCAAAATGAGGGCGGGGGGGGTGGTCATGCTCCGGGGCCCCTCCCATCCAGCCCCTGCACCAGCTGGAACTTGGGCCATGTCACATTCTCTGCCCTTCAGATCCCAGGGCTTCTCCTGGTAGCCCCGCAGACACCCCCAAGGGCTGGTCTTTGGGGGGAGTCTCTCAGCCAGGGTGAGGGAGGGCCAAGAGGCCACCTGGACACCAGGGCTGCTTCCAGGGGAGACATTACGTGGGTCATCCAAAGCCCCCCAGTGCTAGAGGGAAAGGAAGCCCTCTCCGCCCCACCCTCAGGTGACAGGCTTAAACAATAAAAAAAAAAATCGTCATTGTTAACCATTGCTGTGCTGGATCTGTTGTTTTGTTTTTCTCCAATAAATTATTTTTGAGTCACTCACTTGAGCTTGTGTGTTGCCAATGGGGTGGGGGGAGGAGGGGGAGGAATGGGGCTCGCCCACCATGAAGATGGGGAGGGAGGACGGGGTCAAGGGAAAGGGGAGGCTGCCTCTCCCAGCCCACTCCTCTGCCCTCTTCCCTGGCCACGGCCCTCCCTGAGCCCCCAGCCTGAGGGGCTCCACCTTCCACAGGAACAGTTAAGAATCAGAGAGAAGAGCTCTGGGCCCTTGAGCCCAGCAAGCTCTAAGTGCGCCTCTTGTTGGAGGCGTCACTGCCCATTGCTCTCTGGAGCCTGAAGTGTAAGGCGGTTTAGTGGAGGGGCAGAAACGAAGGCAGCCTGGTGGGGGAAGAGGCCGGTTGGTGCCGGAAGTGGCCCTCATCTGCTGCCCTGGGAGGGACCCGCAGGCAGCTGTCGGCCGGGGGCGGCCAGGGCTGGTCAGCAGAATCTGCTCAGCACCTCCCTCTGTTTGGAGAGCGACAGAGCTTTATCGACGTTCTCTACCCCAAGAAAACAAAAACACAATAGACGCTTCCCCTGCAAATCCCCCACCGGGCCACTAGAGGTCAGTGTTTTGATTTTTAAAACCAGGAAAGACAGTTCCGTGAGGCACCGCAAAAGGAAGTACAGGAAATGAGTGAGCCTCTGAGTGCTCTGGGTCAGAGGAACCCCGGTTTATTAGAGAAAGAAAAGGACATGGAGCCCTTGTCTTTGGGGGCAGGTCTTGTGCTCACTGGTTGATGATGACTAAGCCTGGGCAGTCACTGCTCCTTGTGAGGCAAGGGCAGCTGCCCCCCCAGGTCAGGTGGAACTTGGCTCTCACTGGGCACCAGCTGCCCCTCCGAGGGCAAGGGCGCCACCTCCATGGGCTGCTCATCTGTGGATGATTCTCCCGTAGAGGGTGGCGTAGTTTCCACCAGGGTAGGATGGGTCTCATTGGGAAGTGACGCTGTCCCCTCCTTGGGGGACTTGAGCTCCTTTTGCCAGAAAGGCCAGATCTTCCAGGATGACCGTGAGACACTCCAAAAGGCCTTCTTCTCTTCCAGGGGTGCTGGCTGGCTCTCCAAAGACAGCTGGCCCAAAGGCGTTGGCTGACTCTCAGAAAGTGACAGCTGGCTTTCTCTGGGTGATGGTGGCATCTCCTGAAGAGAGAGTGGCCTCTTCCTGGTCAGTGTCAGACTCTTGGGATGAGAATATGGCCACTGCCCATACGAGAGTGACCTTTCCTGCTTTATGGGCAAATTCTCCTGGAAAGATCTGGGTTTCCAGTTAGTGCTGGGAGCCACGTTTCTGGTGAGAGACACTTGGTTATCCAGATAAGAGGATTGCACATCCACAGTGAAGGAGGAGCTCATCGTGGTGGCGGGCTGCGTGTCCTCGGAGGACACCTTCCCCCGGTGCTGGCGCCTCTTCCTCCCCAGGAATGACATCTTCCTGGAGAACCAGGGTGACTCCTTGATGCTCAAGGAGAGTTCTTCATCGGATGGGATCTTTTGATCAGCCAGCATGTCACTGTTGACCCCTGGTGTCTTCCACAGACTTGTGCCCTGCGTGATGAGGTCCGCGTAGCCCTCGCGGTGGGAGAAGGCATAGCTAGAGCGCCGGGTGCGTGACTCCCGGCGTAGGTAGGGCATCGGTTCCACGGTGATGATCTCCTCACTTGGGGCCTCCACCTCCTCCTGCACAGCAGCGGGGATGGCAAGGGTCAGCAGGCTCCCACACTGTGTTGATTGCTCTCAGGTCGCCTGCCCCCAGTGGGGGCCATTCAGAGGCCTTGGCCACCATTGACTGGCTAGGCTCTTCCCTACCCAAGTTGACCCAACTAGAGTCCTTCCCTGGGACTTAACTCTAGACCAGCCAATCAGAGTCGTCCTTCCCTGGGACAAACTCTAGGCCAGCCAATAAGACTCCTTCCAAACTGGGACAAACTCTGGGCCAGCCAATCAGAGTCCTTCCCTGGGACAAACGCTGGACCAGCCAACCAGAGTCCTTCCCTGGGACTTAACTCTGGACCAGCCACCGGGTGCCTTGGGCACCCTCTGGTCGCAAAGCCAGGGGAGGTGAGCCTGGAGCAGCTGTGTGTCCAGCCTGTGTGGCAGAAGGTGGCAGGTTTGCGGCCACGTCTTGGTCCACCATTCCAGTGAATTCTGGAGCCCAACCCAGCTGCAACCCATCCTTCTAGGTTTTGGTTATGTAAGCCAGTAAGTCCCCGCCCCCAACCTTTTTCAGTGGTGTAAAATAGACATCACATAAGAATTACCATTTTAACCATTTTTAAGTGCACAGCTCAATGGCATGAAGCACATTCACATTGTTGTGCACCCATCCCCCCAATCCATCTCCAGAACTTTCTCATCTTACCAAACTGAAACTCTGTTCCCAAGAAACACTGACTCCCCAGCGCCTCCCCCAGCCCCTGGCCCCACCATCTACTTTCTGTCTCTGTGGATGTGACTCCTCTAGGGGCCTCCTGTGAGGGGACCACACAATGTCTGTCCTTCTGTGTCTGGCTCATGTCACTGAGCATCATGTCCTCGAGGTCCATTCATGTTGGAGCAGGGGTCAGAATTTTTCCTTCCTCTTTAAGGCTGTGTAATATTCCCGTGTGTGGATGGACACATTGTGTGTATCCATTACCCCTCCACCCACACTGGTGTTGTTTCTCAGCTCCCCCTCTCCAGGTCATTTCTGTCATCTCGACCCCCAAGCCCTAGATGCTTCCTGGTGGAGGTGCCATGGGGTCAGGACTGGAACCAGGTTGGCCTTCTGAGTGCCCCCTGCTGTCTCTCTCCTGGGAAGTGCAGTTTCCCCCCTGGGGCCCTGGGGCCTGTCCTTTGGCTCCTGAGGGCGCTGGGTGTGCGTCTGGGTCTCCGCCCCCCTCCCCCCAGCCCCATGTCCCCTTGGAGTCCCAGCTCCCAGCACAGGCTCTGGCGGATGGGGTCCCGGGACCCCAGGCCCCCTCACCTTGGGGTGTGGCTTCTTGAGGGCTCGGTGAATGAGACGGAAGGCCAGCACAGGCAGCGTGTTCAACGACACGTTCAGCAGGATCACCAGCAGGATGGGAGGCTGGGACAGCACGTTGCGGTCAGCGTCTGGCGACAGGGCAGTGTCACGGCCCGGCCCGGAGTGGAGCCCCCCCAGAGCCTGCTCAGTGCCCCCACCTCCCGACGCCCCACCTCCTTCCCCTCCCTTTACCCCTGGGACACCCTGATGCAATTCCCCAAAGGCACCACCCGCTCTGCACGCCCGCCCTCCCTGCACCACCGAGGAGAGCAGGGCTCAGGGAGGGCAGGGCGGGCTCTCCGCCGTTGGCACGCCCATCTCCAGGGCCCGCCAGCCCATCCCCTGCCGGGGGCTCACACAGAAACGAGAAGGTCTTGGGGGAGATTTGGAAGGACCAGAAGTTCTGGGTGAGTGCAGTCATGACCACATAGAAACAGAAGCTGAGGACAATGGCCAGCACGAACAGGACCGTCCAGTATTTGATGATGAGGATGACCTGAGCGAGGAGGGAGGGGTAGGTGGGGGGGCGGGAACCCCAGGGCAGGGCTCCGTGGAGGAGGGTGAGGGCTGGGCCCTTGGGATTCATGAAGGGCAGCTGCTGAGGCCCCCAAGGAGGGGTGCCAGGTGGCGAGACCTCAGTGGCCGGTGGCCGAGGCCCCCTTACCTCCACAGTGATGGACAGCAGGCTCGATAGGGCCACAACCACAGCGAACGACTGATAGTCGCCGGAGATGACAGGCCCGCCTGAGTCTTGGCAGATCCACAGGGTCATGAAGAAGTTGACTAGGGAGGTGGCCGTGCCGTGGGCGATGGCTTGGAGAATGACTCCATAGTTGAAGAACTCGTCCTTCTGGCCCGCGATGTACAGCTCCGGCAACTCCAGACTCCGCTCAGCGCTCACGTCCTAGGGAGGGTGGGGGGAGTTGCAGGCTCTTGGGGTGGGGTCAGGGGTGGGAGATGGCCCCACTCCAGGCCCCCAGCAGGAGGAAGAGGGATAGACACAGGAGCATCTACAGCGAAGGGGGAGCCCAGGCCTTGAGCTGCTCACCTGCTCGAAAAGGCCAATGTAGAGAACCGGGAGGGTGGTGTAGAGAAGATTGAAGAGCGCCAGGAACCAGCCTTCATATAGAGGCTGGAGGGCGGGGCGGGGCAGGAGAACGTGGTCAGCCTTTGGGAGTCAGATGACCAGAAACAGAAACACGTGGCATCTTTACCTGAGGAGACCCACCCACACTAGCTGGGCCCCTGGGGAGGATTCCAGGCGAGTTGGAAAGTCACATTCTAATCAAGGTTGGGGCTGAGACCAGGGTTGGGTTAAGCGAGGCAGAGAGAAAAAGCATGGTCTAATCCTATTAAAACAGCACCTTTGAATCTGTCTTCACTGGGTGGCTTCACTAAAGAGCCAGGGAGGAGAAATGGCTCAAGAATGCGTTTTTAGATCGTTTTAGATTTAGGGAATCACTGACGGGTTAAAGAGTTGGAAGAGACCCCATGGACAAGTCACCCAACTCCCTTCCCGATGCGTGAATCCAGTGCAGTTAAGAGAATCTGGGTTTTGGTTCCGAAAACGACTTTATGTGCATCCTGGGGCTGAGCAAATAGGTAACAATCAAGAATTTTGCAAGAATCGAGTTTCTTGCTGTTGGAGAAAAGAGTTACAAATGAGTACGTGGAAAGGGCTAAGCTGAGCCTTGTTCCGCGGGACTGGCATCAGGGGTGTCGGTGGGAACTCATAGTTTTTAATATACACAAAGATAGAGGGATGGGTAGATACAGGCATAGATGGGTGTCTACACATGTTACTGTGTGTACGTTTCCCACCTCTGCCTACTGAGAGGGGAATGGCGCCCAGCAGCAGCGAGCACACCAAGCACTGAGAGCGTGGTGTCTGACCACCATTCTCTAGTGAAAAGAACCACAGCTCCTTACGGGAGTGGCTGACTGCAGGGTTTGGGCAGAGAACTTTTTGTAGCACCAGAAAGTGAGGATGTGCTCGGAGAAGAGCAGGCCCGTGTCAAGAGGACAAATTGAGGACAATCTGAACAACAGAATATAGACTAAAATAGACACCCATGAGTTCACACTGATAGGAATAAATAATTGAATAAGTAAATGGGGGAGAAGGAGCCATTCTTCCTACAAGAGAATTCCAATTAACGAATGTAGAAAGACTGGATGCAGAGGACCCCAGGATCAGGAACAAGGTGGGGAAGCCCACCTTTCCCATGGCTATTCCCATCGCTATTGGAAGTCCTAGCCAAAGCAATTAGTTAAGAAAAGGAAATAAAAGGCATTGAAATCGGAGAGGAAGAAGTGAAACTGTCTCTATTTGCAGAGGACCTGATCTTGTATGCAAGAAATCCCAAGGATCCACAAGAAAGCTACTACAGCCAATCAAGGAATCCGGCAAACTTTCAGGGCACAGATCAACACCCACAGAACCACCTGTGTCTCTGTACAGCGTCAATGAACAGTCCCAAAAGAGAATTAAGAAAACAATTCCATCTATAGTAGCATCTAAAAGAATAAAATGTCTGGAAATAAAAAAGTTAAACGAACAATATGTACTTATCGAGGGTGCCTCTGTGGAGCTCCCTCTCAGATGCCTGGGCATTAGTGACGGGGCGCTCACTCCCTTGCACAGCTGTCTATTTTCAGACGATTCCCTTGCACACAGGGGAAATCATTGCCCTAGGACTCTTCTAAGACTCCAGAGAGGACATGCAGTCTTCACCATGATACCGTCCAGAGACTTGAGGCCAGGGACCAGCCCTCACAGTCTTGCACTCTCTGGGGTTCAAGCTCTCTTCTCCTCTAGAAGGACGTACATTTGGGCCATCTGCCCTGCCCTGGCTTCAAAGCTCCAATTTGCCAAATAGCCCTGAAAATGCTGGGTACAGAGCTGGGCAGAAACCATGCCCTCCCTTTCTCTGAACTCTGTACCTCTGTGAACGCAGCCATGTAACAGGCTGCCTTGCTCGGCGACCTCAGGCAAGCCCCGCCCCCTGAGGACCCCAGAGTGTGCGCATGCCTGCAGCCCTCCTGGAGGCTACCGCAGAGACACGGCACCCCCCGAGGGCCGTGCCCTCCCACGCACCTGGGCGCTGAAGCCGCTGTAGAAGGCGAACCAGACCTGGACCATCATGCTGGCCAGCGTCTTGTAGATGAAGTAGCGCAGGAACTTGCAGACGCGCAGGTAGGACCAGCGTCCGTGCACCAGCAGCAGCCGCTGCAGGAAGCAGAACTGGGCCAGCACGAAGTCGCTGTTCTGCACCGCCTGCATGCCCTCCTTACCCGCCAGCCCCACGCCGATGTCCGCGGCTGCAGGGGCACACGCAGCCCGTCGGCTCCGGCCCGCCCCCCGCCCGGCCCCCGCCGCAGGCCTCCCCCAGCCCTGCTGCCCACCACCCACTCTTGATCATGTTGACGTCGTTGGCGCCGTCCCCGATGGCCAGGGTCACCACGTGCTGGTATTTCTTGACCAGCGCCACGATCAAGGCCTTCTGCTTGGGCGTCGCCCGGCAGCAGATGACCGCCTGGCACCGCGAGGCCAGGTCCACGAAGGCGCGCTCCCGCCGCACCTCGGGGCTCTCGCGGGCGCGCGCGGTCTTGGCCTGCGGCGCCAGCCCGGTGCTCCTCAGCGGCATCCCGAGGGTCCGCCACATCAGCGACAGCCGCCGGGCCTGCAGGAAGTCGGTCCTCTGCTCGCCGGGCTCCTGCCAGGGCTCTTCCACGTCCGTGCTCACGCTGTGGACCAGCGCCCGCGGCTCCTTGCGCAGCGACAGCAGCAGCTGGTCCTGGCCGGCGGGAGGGGCGGGGGGGACCACTCTGCCTGCGCCCCTCCCCTCCGGTGACGCGCCCCCACCTGGCCGCTCCTCCCAGGCCGCCCCCCACCCCCAGGCTGGACTTGGCCCTCCCTGGGTCTGGCCGCTCTGAGAACCATCTCCTGGCGTGGCGTTCAGGGCTCTTGCGGCTCCTCCCAGCCCCTCCCAGGTGCCAGGGGGGCCCCGTGCGCCCCCATCGGTCACTGACCAGGAACTCGCCGTTAATGACCATGGCCATCTTGACCTGTGGCAGGAACGCGTTCTTCAGACACTGCTCGCCTCCCAGCAGGTTGTTGTTGCTCTCCCAGTAGGCCTCCAGGATCCGACTGCGGGGACCCAGCGGGGGCTCAGCCACGGCGGTGGGCACGGACGCCCTCCCACCCCCTCCCCAGCTGTGCCTCGGTTTCCCCCGGGAGTCCAGCCAGGTGGAGGTGAGCGCACTCTGCAGACCCCCAGGGCCACGGGTGCCCGCCCCGGCACTGGCTCATCCGCCCCCACGCTGCCTCTTACATTATCTCCTTCTCCTCCAGAATGAGCATGTCCTCTGAGAGCAGCCGGCAGGCAAAGCCGATGTTCACCGCCGTCTCTGCAAACCAGCCGGGCTCAGCACGTGGCAGCAGCCTGCCCAGGGCCACGCCCACTCTGCCGCAGAGACCCAGGCCCCGCCAATCACAGCAGCATGCCCCTCCCCCTGACCCAGGCGATTGGCTCAGAGGAGGGCATGTGACCCAGGCCAGCCAATCAGAGCCAGCCCTGAGACTTTGGCTGCAGTTCTGAGTGAAGGGGTGTCCCTTCGGACTGGCTGGGGCTGGGCTGCTGGAGGGAGGTTAGTCTGGGGCCATGACCAAGGGGCCATAAGACCTACCATGCCAAGGGTCCATGGGCACTTTTAGGAACCCACAAAAATGATTTAGTGTCTTTCCAAATCAGAAGAAGAAAAAGAAAAGTGACTATAACCCACCCCGCATACTTGTCTTTATACCAATGCAGCTGTAAAATGTCATTTTAAATATTTTGTGTGTGTGCCTTGTGCCCACGGAAGTCTTAATGTGGCCCTGCTGGTACCCATGCCCAGTGAGGTCCTGGAGAACCTGCAGGGGTGGGGGTGAGTCAGAGCTCCTGGCCCACAGGACCTGAGGTTCCATGCTAGTTTTTTTTTCTTTTGGTGAGGAAGATTGGCCCTGAGCTAACATCTGTGCCAATATTCCTCTATTTTGTATGCAGGATGCTGCCACAGCATGGCTTGATGAGCGGTGTGTAGGGCCGCACACAGGATTGGAACCTGCAAACCCCAGAGTGCGCAAACTTAACCACTATGCCACTGGGCTGGCCCCTCCATGCCAGCTTTGCCCCTAAGTCACTGGGCAACCTCTGGCAAGTGCCCCGAGTTCTCTGAGCCCCGCTGGGCCACCTATCACGCAGGAGTACCAAGGGCCCCACCTCACAGGAAGCGCAGGCCCGCCCAAGGGAGGTGACCGGGGGACCCCAGCATTTTTCATTGTTCCAGTTTCTCCCTTCCCAGGGACAAGGTGGAGGACAATGCTGAAGCCACACATGTGGGAGGGGCGGAGGGTGGCACTCTGGGCGGGTTATGAGCTCTCTCCCACCCGCCTCCCTGTCTCCGTGCTGCAGCGGCCGCCCAGGACCCACCTTGCTTGTCCCCTGTGAGTACCCACACTTTGATGTTTCCCTGCTTCAGACACTGGATGGTCTCGGGGACGCCATCCTGGAGTCTGTCCTCGATGGCTGTGGCTCCCAGCAGCTGAGGGGGCGTGGGGGGCACGGAATGGACTGAGCGAGGACCCGGCTCCCCGGCAGGGGTGGGGGGATTGCGGCCCCCTGGGGCTGGGCGGGGCGCTGGCGCCCCTCCCCCGCCTCTGCCCACCTGGAGGTTCTGCTCCATCTCCTCGTACACCTGGTGCAGGGCGTGGGCCCGGTTCTGCAGCAGGATGCTGGCCTCCTGGTGGCGCTGGCGCCACTCCTGGTACGCATCCTCGTCCACCTCCTTGTAGGCCAGGCACAGCGTCCGCAAGGTCTGCTCAGCAAAGGACTAGGGGCCGGTGGGCGGGCACCACGATGTCACCACCCTGCCTCCCGGGCTCTCCGCCAGCCACCGCGCCTCTCAGCCCTCTCTCTCCGCCTGGGCTCCCGGCCCTTGTCCCCACCCATGGTCTGGCCTCCCCGAGAGGCTGGGATCGCGAGCTGCCCCAGCTCCGAACCTGCCCTGTCCCAGCCAGGTGTCCAGTTCTGTTCTGCCTCCAGACCTTTGCACCTGCCATTCCCCCCCAGGAACACCCTCCCTAGGCTTCGCATGGCAATTTTTAACTATCCCGCAAGACCCTTGGAGGAGCCCTGTGGACCCCTCCCCAGGCAGGGCTTCCCTGGCCCCGGATCCTTCCCTCGGACCCCTCAGCTTAGGAAGGTCTGCCTCATTTTTCAAGGGGCGGAGGCCTCTGGGGGTGGGAAGGGAACAGGAAGGATCCTGTGGGACTCTCGCTCACCCCAGGGACGCCCATGGCTCCTACTTCCGTCCTGCGCCCCCACCCTGCCCAGGCTTTCTGCCCCAACGGGCAGCCCCAGGTCTCTCTCGCTTTTGTTCTTGACTGGCGGTGGGTCCCTGGGTGTCAGGAGCTCCAGACAGGCCTTTGTTTCTCCCATGCCTCAGTCTACCCATCTGTTCCATGGGGCAGCTGAGCCAAGCCATTTTGCCGAGCTCTTGGGCTCTGGGTCTTTATCTGACTGCACTTCCCCAGTTCTGAGTCAGAGACCTGACGCCTGGCTCCCCCACACCCCATTCCCCACTCCCAGCAGAGCAGGGCACTCTGGGAGGCCCCAGGTGGAGGGACACAGGACATTCTTTCCACAAACATCCCGGCCGCCAGGCTCCTGTGTTGGGTGATGCTGGGGACCCAGCAAAGCCCATGGGGATCCCCATAGGGTCAAGGCTGGGCCAGAGAGAGGGGGCTGGCATGACACAACAGCTCCATGTTAGGGTCGGGGCAGGAAAGGCTCCCTGGAGGGGGGGACCTCGTGGCTGAGCCCTGAGGCCCAAAAGATCCTGAGTGACAGAGCAGAGGAAGGCATTCCAAGCAGAGGGACGAGTGCGTGCAAAGGTCCTGAGGCATCACCTAAGCATGGGGAAACTGCAAGCCAGAAATGGGGGTCCCGGGGAACCCCCTGGGGGGCAAGAAGAGACCCAGCTACAGAAGCAGAAAGACACATCCTCAAACCCTGGGCTGAGGGGTTAGGGCTCTACCCACGGAGAGGAAAGATTTGAGGCAGGGAGGGCTGAGCGTGTCCTGGAACCCAGGCCTGGCTTGGGAAGGGGGCAGCGTCCAGGGCCAAAGCCCAACCACAAGGGATCCTTGTGTGACTTAGAAAAAGACACCCCCTCTGGGCGGGTGCAGCTTGAAGTTCAGCCCCCTCCCAGCCCATGTGTGTGGGGTTGTGCAGTGCGCAACCTGGCCAACTGTACGTGGCCACCCTGGGTACCGGAGGCCCCTTCTCTGCACACTCTCCTCCTCCGCCCTGTCCTCCTCTCTTTTGCCCTCGATCCCTGCCCCTCTGCCCTCCCTTCCCACAAGGACTCACGGCCAAGGCTTCCTCCGTGGTCCACTCCACTTCGCCTGTCACGTGCAAGCGCTCAAAGATGACCGTGTCGGCGCCTTTGGTGTAGAGGTAGATGGAGCCCTCGGGGTTCCGGACTGCGGAGGGAGAGGCCCAGCTGACCACACAGGCGCCCCTCCCCGCCTGCCTCCGCCTCAGGGTGAGGCGTCTGGGCACAGGCAGCCAGCGCCCCCACTCACCCAGCACCGACATCCGCTTGCGGACGCTGTTGAAGTCCATCATGGCCAGGACCTGGTACTTCCGCTCCTCGCCCAGCTCCAACACCGTGATGCTGTCCTGCGTGCGCGCCAGGAACACGTAGCCGAAGTTCCGGGCCGCCGTGACCAGCGCCTCCTCGTCGGGGGACGCCGCCTGGTACACGAGCTGGTCTGGCGGGGGGAGGGGACCGCGGGGCGGGGCGCGCTCGCTGAGGGCTCCGGCCAGTCAGGCCCCACCGCCCACCTGGTGGTCCCGCCTCCATCCCTTAGCACAGTGCAGGAAACGGCACGGGAGGCCCCACCAGGTACCTATGGCATGACGGTCTCTGGGGCCTGAGCAACCTCTCAGCCCCATACAGAAGGTGGGCGCTTGGGTCCCAGCCTGGATGACCTCCCCTCCCAGCTCCATGTCGGATCTTGAGCCCCGGGCCTGGACACCCTCTAGGTCCGGAAGAGGTGGGGTTGGGACACGGGCCCAAGCAGCCTCTAAGCGTCTCGGGGTTGGGCTGGGCCACTCTAAGGCCAGGAGACCGTCCCAGGAGCCCGGGGCGCGCATGGCCTCTCCGGCGGGCGGGGGCCCGCGGGCACTCACTGTTCTTGTCTTGCACCATGACCGTGTGGCAGACAGCCAGCAGCCGCCAGAACTCCCGCACCATCGCGTCCTGGTTGCCGCGCACGGCCTGCAGGAGCCCCGCATTGTGGAAGAACGACTTCCCGTTGGCAAACGTGTTCCAGAGGTAGGGGTTCTCCTGCGGGGCGGTGAGGGGACAGGCCGCTCTGGGTGGGCCGCTCCCCAGCCCCCCATCCGGTGCGGCAGGGCGGCTGGGCTCACCTTATGCGGGGTCTTCCTCTCCTCATCGGGGCCTGAGGAAAGACTCTACTTCAGGCCTCAGCTCCCAGGACCCACTCGGGGTCCCGCAGCCCCCACCCCCTGATCTCAGGCCTCCTGGAGCTGCCAGATGCAGCCAGACAAGCGGGAACTGGGGCTCCAGGCCCGACGCCCCCAGCAACCAAGGACCCCGGCCTCAGCTTTGCCTTCTGCACAAAGGAGAGAACGAGGCAGCCACGCCTCCCAGGGGGCCCAGGAGGGCAGCCCTGAGCGGGACCTGGCCCCACGGAACACGTTTTGTCTGATCTCCTCGTGGTGTCTTTTTAAAACCGGGATGTGGCCACCTACTTCGAAAAATTGGGTGATTTCACAGAAAAATCTGAGTCCGTAGCACTTCTATAAACATCAGAGGATGGGGCCCGGGGTGGGTGCTGCTCGCCACAGACCCCAGTGCTCCCTATCGCCCCCCCAGTCCCTGGCTGAGGTCGTGGGCCCATGTCCGCCTCTCGTGCTGGTGACCGCCCACCACACCTGATTACGACCCAGCTGGCTCCTCTGTCACCTCCTGCTCTGAACCGTGGCCCCTAGTCACAAACTACACGGGGGGATGGAGACCTACACCCGCCCCGATGCCCATTTTTGTGTGGCCTGCGAGCTCAGAATGGTTTTCACGTTTCCAAATGGCTGGGGGTAAACTATAGGAAGAGTGTTGTCCCGTGACACGTGAAAACGCTACAAAATTCGAAATTCAGCCTCCACGCGAGACGATGCTGCCCAAGAAGCCAGACGTACTGACTGGCTGGCCCTTCACAGGAAAAGTCTGCGGACCCCCAAGGGAGACGAGCCACACGGCTGCGGTGCTGGGGCTCTGATGTGAGCGGCAGTGCTGGGCGGGGGGCGGGGGGGGGCATCCAGGAGACCCAGAAGCCCCCCGGGGCCCCTCCTGCACCCCGGGGCCTGTCCTGGCTGTGGTGGGGAGGGCTGGGGGGCCGGGCGGGGCCCCGGGGGAGGGGCGCGGGGGGGCGGTCCCCACCGTAGATGACGCCGTTGATGCAGCATTTCTTGAAGGTCATGATGTTCTGGGTGAGCGTGCCCGTCTTGTCGGAGAAGATGTACTCCACCTGGCCCAGCTGGTCGTTGAGGCTGGTGCTGCGGGCCTTGGCTGGCGTGTCGTGCGGCTCGTAGTACATCTGCACGTCCCAGTTGATGAAGATGCTGTTCCCCAGGTAGATGAACTCGGCTCTGCAAAGGCAGCCGGGTCACGCCCTGGCCCGCCACCCGCGGAGGGGCGGGCGGGGGAGGCGGCGCGGGCACCCACATGATGAACATGGCCATGGGCACCATGACGCTGAGCAGGATGAGGAAGCCCCAGAAGATGAGGAAGGACTCGGCCGCCACGCTGGGCATATCGTTGGTGGGCAGGTAGTGGTGCTTGCCCTTCAACTCCTTTGCCTTGTACCAGAAGCCCAAGGTCAACCCCGCCGAGATCACTATCAGGGACAGGAAGATCTGCGGGGCGGACGGGAGATGGGGGGGCGAGCTGGGGACACGCTCAGCATGAAAGGACAAACACGGAGATGGGACCCCCCCCAGCTCTGGCTTCAGGACAGGGGGCCGGGGGAGCAAGCCAACTGTCCCAGGGGGAGGGGAACTCAAGGGGCTGTGCCAGGTCTTGCGGCTGCTCTTTTTCAAAATTACTATTACAATAACTTTAAAAGAGATAAAGTCAGTTGAGCAAAAAGGTAAGGATTGTTAAAAGTCAGTAGAGTAGGTGAGTATTTTATTATCTCCTGGGGTTCTGGAAAATGTCAGGATCAAAATTTATCCTATAAAAACTTTTTTTTTTAATCGTTATTTTAAGAGAAGATTCTCTGGCCCAAAGACCTGTCTGTGGAATCAGGCTGCACATTTTGCAGAGGAAGGAAACTGAGGCCTGCAGGACGACAGCGAGGCTTCTGTCTGTGGGTGTTCTGCCCCAGAACAGGGACTCTGGACAGCTTACCAGGACCACCAGCCTGTTCATCATGTGGTCTATCTTGGTTCTCTTCAGATGGATCGTGCCACAGTTCTTCATGATCTTTGTGTCAAAACCTGCAGGGTTTATATCCTTCCATCCACCCACCCATCCACCTACCCATCCATCCACCAACCCATCCATCCATGTATCCATCCATCCATCCATCCACCCATCCACCCACCCACCCATCCACCTACCCATCCATCCACCAACACATCCATCCATTCATCCACCCATCCTTCCATCCATCCACCCATCCTTCCATTCATCTACCCATCCTTCCACCCACCCATCCATCCATGTATCCATCCATCCATCCATCTACCCACCCATCCATCCACTCATCCCTCCATCCATCCATCCATCCATCCACCCATCCTTCCAGTCATCCACCCATCCACCCAGCCAGCCAGCCAGCCAGCCAGCCAGCCAGCCACCCACCCATCCACCCCATCCTTCATCCCCCATCACCCCATACCCCACCCACACCCCCACCCATTCATCTACCTGCCCAGCCACCCCTCCTTCCATCTACATACAAGCACCCCACTTTTTCCAGCCAAAACAAGGATGCTGGCTCAACACGTCCATTTCTACAGTTTGAGAACCCAGGGTCCAGAGAAGCCACACCATGCGACAGATGCTTATGGCAGACGCATGCAGCAGCCAGGCCTGGTTTTGTGACTTCTTGCCAATGACTTCAGGGTTCTCACCCACCCCCACCCTCTGACTGGGACAGCTCATACTCCAGGGGCCCCGGAGGGGCTGTACCGGCATAGATGACCAGTCCGTAGCAGGTGTCTGTGTTTCGGATCTTGCAGCCACGCAGGAGGATGTTGCCGCTGTCCAGGGGATATTTCTTGCCGGTCCATTCCAGGCACCCGACGAAGTGGTGCATCCGGCTGTTGGGTTCCTCACACACCACCTTGCCTGTGGGCAACCGGGCGGTCAGGGAGCCGAGGGCGTGGCTGGGCTCAGGCCGCCCCGCTCCAATGTGGTGGGGGGTGGGCTCAGGGAACATTCCTGTCACCCTCTGGCTCCAGCCACCCTCATGGCCCCACACAGCCCCAAACTTCCCTTCTGGCACCTCCACCCCCACCACAGAGCCTCCTGGATGCTCCAGCGCTGGCCCCTCCTGGCGTCAGGGCCTTTGTGTATGCTGTTCCCTGTGCCAGGACTCACACCTCCTCAGGAAAGCCCTCCCTGATCCTCCACCAGATCAGTTTGCCCCCCATCCAGCCCCTTCCTCATGGTTACAATCCAGGGATGTCACTAGACATCTGTTCCGCCATGAGAGCAGGCCCCTGCCTCATCTCAGTTGCGCTGGGACCCCAGGGAGCACACAGTAGGTGCTCTATACATGTGTGAGGAGGGAAAGAAGGAAGGGATGCCTGCAGGCAGGAGACTCATCCAGCACCCCGAAACCACAAGGGACAAATGCAGGGCACAGTGTAGGGTTTTCCAGAAGACAGCAGGGGTGGGGCCGTTCCTACTGGGCCCTGGGGCCCGTCCACCATTGTTCACCAGCAGGATAGCGGGGGCCCTGCTTCCGCTTGAGAAAATGGGCTCGGGGTGCAAAGGTCTGCCCAGGGCAGTGCCCAGCAAGGGCTAAAATGACAACAGGGTGCAGCTGGGACCCCGGAAGGGAGAGAGCTGGTGGGCCCCAGGGTTCTTGAACGACCCTCGCCTGCTCCGCGCCATTCCTTCTCAGGGACTGAGTTTGTCCTGAATGTGGAAATGGGATGGATGGTGGGCAGAGGAGCCCTGGGGGAAACTCATGCTGCTCGCCACCTCTCTGAACCTCAGTCTCCTCCTCTAAAAAGTGGGGCCACGCCTTGCAGGAATGCTGAGGCAGCTGGGTCAGGTCAGGGCTCAGAGAGGGCCGTCGGACAGGTGTGGCCGCCGTCCAGGCAAGCGAGGCCTTTCCCCAGCTAGTTGAACAGTCACGCAACTAGCATGTGGATGTCGGGAGCCAAGGGGCTCTATTCCGAGAGAAAGATTCTGCTGCAGAGCTGAGTAGAGTAACTTGCCTTTGCAACAAGACAGGAAAAATAATAACAGTAAAGGATCCCCTTACTGGGCCACGGCAAATGGTAACTGTAGCCACAGGTGTGAGACATCTCCAGGCAGAAAATAAGAAACCGAGAGGGGTGGGATGGCTCCTTGGCCCCAGGTCTTTTCCTGCCATGCCTGCAAATTGTTGGCCCGTGTACACAGGCTGCCTTTTCAGTTAAGCCACCAGAAGTGTTTGCTTCAATGTGGTCGTGTTTTAAAAATAAAATGTAGCTCCTGATAAAACCCACAGCAGGTTTTGTAACAACAATAACAGAAAATACCCCGACTAACACAGATTCAGGGGACATGAAATGGGCCTGGGATAAGACAGCCTGTTAAAAGCTATCCTGACACCGAAGGTCCGAGAATGAATGAGATAAAGAACAATCAGTGAGGGGCCAGCCCGGTGGCACAGCAGTTAAGTGCGTGCGCTCCGCTGCGGTGGCCCAGGGTTCGGATTCCGGGCGCGCACCGATGCACCACTTGTCAAGCCATGCTGTGGCAGCGTCCCATATAAAGCGGAGGAAGATGGGCACAGATGTTAGCTCAGGGCCAGTCTTCCTCAGCAAAAAAAAAAAAGAAAAGATTGGCAGATGTTAGCTCAGGGCCAGTCTTCCTCAGAAAAAAAAAAAAAAAAAGAGGAAGACTGTCGACAGATGTTAGCTCAGGGCTGATCTTCCTCACAAAAAAAAAAGAACAGTCAGTGAGAACTGACCATGCCCGTCTGGGTAGACATCACTGAACACTCCCCACCACACCCCATTACCAACCCCAAACCCAGCGAGGCGGGTGACTTTCGTGCCCACTGCATAGCAGGGTGTATGGAAGCCCAGATGTGTGGACGGGACAGCTGCCTCCTGCTCTCCGCCTCTCACCTTGGAAGGACGCCATGTTCCTTACACTGGTCAGCTCGTGGTGGGTGATCATCGGCGCCTGCCTGAACTTCAAGTTGGTTTCCCTGGTGACGAGAAGGGGAGCGAGGGGTAAGGTGGGGACAGACAGCGCCCAGGCAAGGCACCTCCAGCCCTCTTCCAGAGTCACTCAAACATTTTCCCCGAGCACCTACTATGTGCAACTGCCAATCAGGAGGCTGAGGCCCAGAGAGGGAGAGGGCCTTGCCCAAGGTCACACAGGGCATTTGCAAAAGGGCTGAGGCCAGACCCTAGGCCTTCCTGCTTTCCGGGTGGTGGGGCCTGGCACACAGTAGGGCCTCTAGAAATGTTGGTGCAAAGAAAGCCGGTCCCTTCCTCTGGTTTAGCCTTATTGCCCCTGCTAGCCTGTAGGTGCCCCGTGAATGCTCCTGGGGCGAATGACCATAACATCTGAGTGGGCTTGGCTGTTGGGGAAAGCTCGCACCCGGCCCCCAAACTCCTAGTGACGCTCCGTGCCTCACCCGTCGATGTCGGCCGTCTCCACGTAGCACAGGCTGCTGGGCTCCGTGCTGGCCAGCAAGAGCAGGTCGGCCTGCAGTGGGGAGGGGGGTCGGGAGGGAGGAGACGGCATTGCAGGAGGCACAGGGAGGAAGACAGCGGGCGGGCGGCCCTCCCCCCGGAGCGGGCGTTCGGGGCGCTGACCGGGACGATGCTGTCTCTGTGCAGACAGACCACGTCCCCCACGCACAGATGCTTCCATTTCCTCCACTGGAAGCTGCGGGGAGCGGGGCGCAGGCGTGAGAGGGGGCCCTCTCAGGCCCAGCCGTGGGACCCCCGCCCCCTCACCGCCCCCCCCCCCGCCCCGAGCTGGAAGAGCTGGGGCTTTGCTTCTGGAATGTTCCCACCCGCAGGTCTCTGCCGGGACTCGGCCTTCCCTCCCCTCCCCTTCAGCTGAGCTCGCAGCCCTGCGAGGGTTAACAATGGGGGCCTCAGCCTCTGCCCCCATCACAGCGCCCACTGCAGGCCTGGCAGACAGCAGGCGCCCCATCAATGCTGGCCTGGGTCCCTGTCAGACCCAACCAGGATGTCCGGGAGCACGGAAGGTGCTGGACACTCTGCTGGACACCCCTCCCCGCCGTGTCCGGCCCCGGCCGTGCTGGAGCCCCCCCACCGCTCCAGGATGGACCCCCCGCCCCCCGGCCGCTGTGGCCTCACCTCCTCCCCACCAGGATCTGGCAGGGCCTGTTGTTGATGATTCTATCGCTCCTGTGTCGCCCCTGGGCCGACAGGGTGCGTCAGAGAGAGGGCACGGCCCCCCACGCCGCCTGGTAATGGCGCAGCGCGAGCCCCACCAGCCGCATCTGTCCAGGGACCCCGGCAGGAGGGCCGCCAGGCCAACTGCTGTCGGCAGGAGCAGAGGGCAGATTCCACCTGCCACCCGTGTGGCCGCCAAGACCACCCGGCCAGGGGGCCTGCAGGCATCTGCCCCTTGTGGCCGCAAGAGAGTGTGGATGACACAGCCCACCAGGGCCGCCCACGCTGACCCCCTACAGCCCGGCCCTCTCCCGGCACCTGGGGGGACCACCCTGACCCCAGTCCCCACCCCGGCCACCCCCACCCCACTTACGATGTCGTCCACCAGTTCTCGGGTGGCCCGGATGACCAGGAGGCACACAAGCGGGACAAAGAGCGTAAACCAGGGCAGCGTGGAGATCTCGGGGATGCTCTAACACGGAGGGGGGTCACGCTGGCCCCTGTCCACCTGCCCCCCGGCTGCCTCCTCCTGCCCTCCCACCCGGCACGCCTGGCCCCTCAGCCTAGCAGGCTGTGTCCCTCCTGCTGACCACCCGGGCCCGGGGCCAGCCGTCTCCCTGCACGAGCCTCAGGACAACTGCCCTTGGTCCCTCTCCCCGCCCGGAACTTCTCCCCCACGCCTCGTCTCCCTCCTGTGCCCAGCTCCCGTGTCACCTCCTCCAGGAAGCCCTCCTAACCCCAGGGCCTTGGCTCTCTCTGTTCCCCTTCCCTGTAGCCCTATCCCTCCCGGTCACCCTTCAGGTCCGAGCTCCATCGTCTCCTCCTCCAGGGGCCCCCTAGACCAGCCTGGGCCCCCGTGTGGTTTAATGACAGTCACCCCCACCAGCCCCTGAGCCACCTGAACAGGGGTGTCAGGGCCACCGCCAGGTCCCCAGTGCCCAGACAGGACCTGCACACAGTAGGTGCTCACTAAGTGTCCACTGGACTGATGGAAAAAAGCAGAGCATCTGACTTTACTCAGAACAAAAAGGAGATGCTGGGCGGGGGCGAGGGGGTTCTGGAAACTGCCCACTCGCTGAGAGAGGGAGGTGCCCAGGCCAGACGCCTGCCCCCTGGCCTGGACCGCCCAGCAGGTCCCAAGAACCTGCCCTTGACCCCTCCTTCCTCCTCACCCTCTGGGGTCACCTCGGCCAGCTGGGGTCAAGGGGGCCATCCATCCTGGAGAAGGGGTGCGCCCTCCTCGGACCCAGAGGAGCCATTCACACTCCTTCACTACTCAGCATATATTAAGCACCTCCTGTGTGCCAGGCCCCGGGCTGGGCAGTGGGGACCCGGCCATGAAGGCGCTCCCAGTGTGCGGGGAGCCGGACATTGGCCCCGTAACCACAAAGACCAACACACGGTGAAACCACCCTGGGTCTACAGAGCCAGGTGGCGAGGGGGCTCTGAGAGGGCTTCCTGGAGGAGGCGACGGGAGCAGGCGACAGGATGGTGTGAGCCTGGGCGCTGACCCCCGGGGCTGCCCCACCCTGCCCCACCTGGAGGACGATGATAAGAAGGAAGTAGAGGTTGGACACTTGGCGAAACTGCTCGTACAGGTTCAAGGGCAGGAAGGAGAAGACATTGTACTTGGCCGTGTGGATAACATTGGTCTGGAACGAGAGCCAACATGCGTGTGCCCACCCTGCCCCGCCCCGGCCTCGCCCCGCCCTCGACCACCCCAGCCTTAACTGAGCATCTACTGAATTCGAGGCTTTGATCCAGCATTTACTGAGCGCCCACTGAATGCAAAGCCTTGAGCCAGCATTTATTGAGTGCCTGCTGAATGCAAAGCCTCGAGCCAGCATCAATTATCGACTGAATGCAAGGTCTTGAGCCAGCTTTAATGAGTGCCAGCTGAATGCAAGGCCTCAGGCCAGCATTTACGAAGCAGGCCAGCGTTTACCCAGCGCCTGCTGAATGCAAAGCCTTGAGTCAGCATTAATTGAGCACCTGCTGGGTGCAAAGACTCCTTGAGCTGACCTGTGACCCCGGAATTTCCCCAAATGAGACACATGCCAGGTGATTTTAGGCAGAGCCCGATGGACAAGCTGTACCTTAAAGGTTTCTTATTAACTTATTTTTGGGAAGTAGGGTGGGGCGAAGGAGACGCTGGAAACGCCAGTACGAACTGGGGATTCGGCTAGAACGGGGGCTCCAGTTCCCGTGATTAAATCGAAATATCGAGTGGATACAGCACAGGCGGAGCTCGTGTGCCCCCCAAGCAAACCCCTGCAGGCGGACCCCAGCAGGGCTGCGGGGGCGGGGCGGGGGGCCTGCCCACCTTGTACTTGCGCCTCTGCCAGCACAGGAAGCCCTTCTCCTTGAACTGGTTGTTGTAGGCCCGGCTGTTGGCCTTCACCTCCCAGGTGAACCCTGGAGGCGGAGAGAGCGGGCGTCACGTGGGGTGGCGGACAAACACGCTAAGGACACCCCAGAGGAGGGCTAATGGGCCCCGGGGGACCAGGCACGGGGGATGCTCGCCGCCCGGGGTGCGGGAGCCGGTAAACAAACAGAAAGGCCCCCACCCCAACCCACCCCCGGGCCAATCCCTAGGCTCAGCGAACAGGCCCTGGGAGGCCCATTCACGCCCACTCCTTCTACAGAGCGGGTAAACTGAGGCACGCCCCCGGCCTGGGCAGCCCAGACAGTTCTGGGCTCGCAGCCCCCAAGTCCTGAGTCTACCTTTCAGGCACAAGGTTTGGGACTATTCCTAACCCAACGAGAACCCACGCTGGGCCAGTCAAACGGGTTTTGGGGGGGTCTCGCCCCGCAGCCCGCCCTCGGCCCCAGGACACGCACCTGAGTTCTTCTCTTCCTCCTCAAGGTCTTCTCGGTAGGCGAGGCTGCCCATGCCGGCGGGCCTGTTGGGGAGAGGGGCCCAAGGTCACACCAGTGGCCCAGCCCTCGCCGGGTGTTGTCCATTACTCTGCCTCCAGGAGCTCCCGGCCAGAGAGGAGGCGCTCTCTAAAGCGTCACCTCCCACGTCCATATGCTGCCCCCTCCCTGGGCTCAGAAGGTTCAGCCACTGGCTGTGTGTCCTTCCTGAACATCCTCAGGCCCAATGGGGCCCGGGCTGACCCCCAAACCCACAACAGCCCCATGTCCCCCGGTCCACCCCAGTGAGCAATCTGAGGTTGCCTCACCTCCCCCCATTACGGCTGGTCCCTTAGGATGAAGGATTCTACCTCTGTCCATTGCCCCCCACCCCACCCCACCCCGCCGGCCATCCTCAGTCTAGGCTCCCATCGCCTCCCGGGTCTCCCTGCTGCCCCCTCCTGCCCCAATCTCCAAGTGGCACACAACGCCCAGCCCGGTTAGGTGCCCAATCAATGTTTGTTGACTGACTAAATGGAACCCCAGGATTATACTTTATATCTCGAAGGCCAACCTGCAGATCTGAGCGTGGTGGGGGAGACGGAGGCAGACACACCTTCCACAGAGCCTGGAACATTCCCACCAGCTAGTTCATGGTCACTCCTGGTCCTCCGGTGCCAGGAATTTGAGCCTCACCATGGGGCCCTCCCCATAACCCCCACCCCCAGCACTCAGCAGCTCCCTCCTCTCCAAGCCCCGGCTGTTCCCTCTGCCAGGAGCACTCTTCCTGCAGGCCTCCTCACCCTTCTGGCCTCAGCTCATACTTCTCAGACCGTCCAGGATTGTGCGGACGCCGCCTCTGGGCTCCTCCTCTGCCTGGGGTGTCCCCCATCCCGGTTCTGAGCACCCTCTCTCCCCTGCTTCTTTCCCTGTCTGGGCCGCTGGCTGAATTCAGAACCGCCCGGGGCAGGGACGATGGCGTCTGAGTCACCGGTGACCCCAGTGGGGCAGGGCCTGATTCAGGGCCAGCTCTGACGCTCCCGGGGACCTGAGCTGGCTGGTGCCCATTCTCCAGATGAGGGAAAGTGAGGCTCAGCCAGTGGGACCTAGAGCCGGGGAGACCCAGCGGGGACAGGTGGGGCTGGAGGGGACGCTGAGACGGCCAGAATCCACCCACCCCCCGTTTTTCTGGGACAGGGACCCGCCCCCAGTGTTGCCTCCTCCTCACTCTCACTCGGCTCACCGGAACGCCCCATTAACCCCCGGGGAGCCCCAGCATTCCCGCGGCTGCGGCTGCGCGGGGTTCGAGGCCCAGGCCCGACCGCGTCCACAGGACACTCCTGGGGACCCTGCCCCGCGCGATCCTCTAGGGGGCGTCCCCTCCGTCGCCGCGGCGACCTCCCGCCCTCGGGCCGGGCAGGGTCCAGAGAGGGTGTGCGGCCGCCCGGGACGC